AAGTGCTTCCGGCAAGGTATGCTTCTTTTGAGAAGTACTCCCCTACAATCAAAATGATTTTGAGTCCATTAATATCATCCAATTTGGGTATGGGGAAACTTACATAGTTACATTGATATGACTTCTCATCTTTCTGATTTAAAATTAGGTAAAGACGACAATACGAGGGTGTAGGATGTCCTTCACAAGGCTGACTCAGAAGGTATCTCTGCAAATTTGAGAACTCTCATAAGGTATCTCTGCAAATTTGAGAACTCTAATCTAGATCTAAGACGAAGGTTGAGATGGCGACCAGTTGCTATAGTGGCTGAGGAGCAGCAATTGATGCCTTGATGGTGGTGAGTTGAATCGGAAGGAAGGTCCCTCAAGCCGATGGAGAAGCTGGAGAACGAGAAGACTTTTTTTTTTGAAAAAAGTACGAGAAGACTGTGGTGACAGACGAGTGGAGGGGATTTAGCTAGGGGTAGTTTTGGAAAGTCAAGGTTATTTTCATTCCACATAAATTTGCGCACCAAGTCAAAGCCGGAAGATAAATTGGGGACGGAGGGAGTTTTACAAGCATTAGTATTATCCCCAATAGTAACTGTGTCAAGTGAAGTAGATTTACATATCTTGAAATCAATAATGTTGACCTCTGTATTATAATCCCTTCAATTCTAAATTTTTTTCCTATTTTGACGTTTTTAGTCAAATAGTAAAATTCTTTGATTATAAATTAAACATAATATAAATAAATAAATCATAAAAAATTTGATATATCAAAATTATATTCTAAGGTTAATCCAATTATATTGAACTTATATTATGATTAAATATATTTTTCTCAAAATTTGTGATAAAAATTGCGTTTTTGACCCAAAAAGTCTAATATGAGAGATTTTTTTAGGACTAGGAGTATATGTTTTCCTTATTATTATATGTGTAATATTTTTACCGTGCATCGTCTATGCAACTTCAAACCCATAAGAGACAGAGAAACATTGATCTGTCCTGTATTTCACGTGCCATTAATTTCAACGAACATAAAAACAACAATGGTCAATATAACAGAGTTAACCATTTACTAAAACTGAAAATCTAACAGAGTTAAAAACAACATGTGTTCGATCCTGTGCGTTGCACGAACTCCCTTTTCATGGAGATGCCAGTAGCAAAACCTGTTCGTGAGATGCTGTCCTTTAAGTAATGATCTTCTATTTCTTTGGCTTGATTCTAGACCATTTACTAAATTTTGACTCTATTTTTATGTGCTTGCAGTGTGTTCACACCATATTACTCTGAGACTGTCATGTTCAGCATGTCTGAACTCCTTAAAAGAAATGAAGACGGGATCTTTGCTTTTTTTTACCTACAAAAGATATATCCAGGTATATAACTGTCTTATCTGATGTGACAACTGACAAAGTACCTTCTTTGATAGGATATGTATTTGACAACAGCTCTCCCCTTCCCGCTCCTCCTAAGCTAGAGCATATTAAAGTATGTTCTACGTTTCAAATTTTCAAATATAAAAGGATAATGAATCTTTAATATTGAAAATTGTAAAAACATGAACTTGAGGTCTGAACTTAGAAACTTAAATTCCACAACTTTCGCAGTAGTGACGTAGTGTCACACTAGCATCTTTTGCTTAAACTTGTTTTTTCAATTGAA